TTTGTTATTTTCATCTTTATTATTTCCAAAATAATTATTCATTTCTGAAATTGGGCATGTAATATCTGTATAATGAAATGCGTATGAATCTACATATATTGATACCCGAACCAAAATAATGGGTCATTATCGACCTCCTCTTTGACATTTCTTCCTGAGAGATTAATCGAGAACAATGTCAGCGATTTGCCTAGAAGACTTTTTGACCCTCTTACATTACAAAGGTTTACGCTTATATTTCAGTTTAGTCGATATTTTCAAGATATTGGAACATTGGCGCACGTTTATATTTATAGTAGATGCGCGATGTTCCATTAAAATTATTTTTGCCGTTGGTATGTACAGCTTCTTTTCCTTATTTAAAATTTTTATAATAAAAATTTAGATGCATTTTATTAAAAAAAAAAAAAAAATGTTATTACATTTTAGAAGAGAAATTTGAATCGATTGATATAATGTACGGTTACGTGCATAACGATCTCTTTTGCCGGCTGCTAAAGCAATACTTTATGTCGCACGTGTACTCATTACACACATGTAGGCGCATTGCGAGCAGGACAACGAGAAACCATTTCTAAACATAGTCGGGACAAACCCAGCATTCGCGGCATCCGTCGTCGGTCCAAGAGAAAAAAAAAGAAAAGTCAAATGTGCAAATCGAGAAACGCGAGTGCTTTAAGGGATGCGCGAGTCGGGAGCTACCGCGAGGAAACGCAGTTTTGTCTATACTTAGCTTAAGCTGCTAATCCATAGGGACATCGAATGTCAAATATTTCTTCTACATACTTTGTGAGTTTGTGAGGGTGAGATGAACATTTCTCGAGCGACGATTACATCGAATTACATCTAATCACGTTCATTCGCGGCACTTTTATTTTTGCGACGCCAGTTAGAAAGGAGAAAAACATCGCTCGGAGCAGAAATATTATAGGTCAGGGAGGACGATCGAGTTAGCCGTACGAAGAGAAAACCTTGTTAGATAAAGCTGGCCTTGGATTTTTTCCCCTTTTTGTAAATGTAATATATTGCGACGCGCGTCGTATATATTACCATGGTCGATCGTGAATAGTCCTCCTACACTTTTCACACGACGATCGCCTATTTAGATACATCCCCATTGTGCGTATGGTACAAGCGGCGTGTCAGAACGTCACGCTCTAAAGCAGGAAACCGTGGAATACGCTGGATACGTCGACGTCCGCGGTCTGTTCCGTGAAAATGTGTGCTGCGTGCGTGTGCGCTCACACGTATTCGCGTACTCGTGGTGTGATGACAAAATATCGTACTACGGGATTAAAGCCAGGGATTTTCGGTAGAACGAACGCGCCCTTTAGTATTCGCGAGATAAATCGCTGACGGATTATCCTACGCCATTTTTCGTCCACTCGACGGCAGATATCATTCGAGCCACACTTTAACGTCGCAACGTTTTTCCGTTTTACTTATCGAAACTCGTAGCTAAATGTTTTTGCTTTTTTTAATGCACGATTTACTTGACTCAAATTCCGCGCGGTTTCTTTGATTGGCGCGATGGCTTATTCTGTCGAACGGAAATTCGCGGATAAAGCCCGTGGGCAATTTAATTAAAACATCTGTTTCAATTAACGACCAGGCTGCCTTTAACTGTAGTTGCAAACCATATTTATCTTGCCGTTTATAAAATAAATTTACAAAAGTGAACGCTCTGTGAATATTTAGTGAGCTTGGAAAACAAGTTTCGAAAATTGGAAAAGAATTTCGAAAGCCCGGAATGCTCGAGAATTGATTTGTTCGATGTTTTTTATTCTATTTTTACTAATTAGTACTTGAAGTATCATTGAGCAATCAATTCGCATTGTTGATGTTCTCATGCGGTTTAATTAATGGTATTTTGATTCTGTTTAATTGATTAAATGATTACCATGACTAGACATGGTAGTCATCGATGGATTAACATTATCCATTTCAAACGATAGAGTTCATTAAATAGTCATCGTTTAAATAGTAAATTAGCACCCACGCGGTAAGGTAATATTTCACAGAGTATGTTGATACCAATTAGAAGTTAGAAGATTCATTCTAGTAAATAAACAGAAAAAAGAGACTCACACTTGCTTTGCTTCTCGCAAGAATATTATTTATCCAAACAAGCGAGAGCTACAAATGTAAATAAAATATGAAGCATGTTTCAGGCGAAGATGTGATTTAAGTCTTAATCTGCCTCCATTAATCCGTCAATATTAAATAGATCAATAAGAATTCACAAAGTTGCGTCATATGATGCAATTATGAATTAAAAAATTGCAATTTTGATAAATTTATTTCTTCTAATAAATGCAAAGATTATTTTTGTGTGCTCACAGCACGAAATCTGCATTTAAAAAATTGTTTTCGAGTCTTGACCGATACGTTTTATATCTTGATCTTGAAAATATCGAGTCTGATGTGACTAAACGTTTCGCTCAAGAAGATCTGTTCTATGCAAATTTTCATTGTGATTGTGATGCTTCTCATATTGATATTGCAGTCAAAACCTGTAGGGGTCAGTGAGAATTAAGTAACGGCACTCAGCTGTGAGCATTAAGAAACGGCTTCTCTCGTATCAGTTTTGGGGCTTCCGATCAGTTTGACACGTCGAGCTCGATGTGTATTCTGCTCTAACAATGTAACTTTTCGATGTCAGATAAGATTCGATGTAATGGACTTGCGATCCTTTCAATTTATTGCATATACCATTTTTTCTGTTAACATTAATCTACTTAATCGACTGAGGATTTAACTGTTCAAAAAAACTATAATACAGCCGAAATTACACAGAAAGCTTTGGATTGTAATTGATTGATCAATTAACGAGTTCGCTTTGTTTTGACAATATGTGTGTGTTCACATAATTCATATTCCGCGTATTCGCTATTTCGAATGTAATTTCACGAAAATGCGATATATATTTCGTCAGTTGAACTGCTAATAATAGCGTCTACGTTTACTGGAAAGTATGCAACACGTATTTACTTATTGCGGGATAAAATTGGAGGCAGGGAGGAAGCCGCGCGGAATTCGTTGCACCGACTAACGCCTTCTGCTCGTGCGTTTCCTCTCCTTTTTTCTTCTTTTTCGTTAATTTTCCCCGGCTCCTCTCTATCCTCGGCATTGATTGATACTACGACGTTGCCAAGCAACGTCTCGAACCAGACTTGTCTGTGTACACGCTAGTATAGAATTACGCGAGAGCGAGTCCGAACTCCCTTGGCAACGAGTTACGTTCCATTATGCTGTATCATCAATCCTTTAATTCCATATAAAATTTCAGGTGAAATTTTTTTTAACATTTTCGCATGTGAAAGTGAGTCTAAGAAAAGCTTTGTACTTGGATTAAATCGTGAAATATTGAGTGATAAAATCGATTTACAGAAATTGTAGAGAATTGATTCTAGAGATATAAGATGTTGCGCGCTATCAATATCTTATAATTTAATAAATAAACATATATTTGATACATTCAATATATTTATAAAGCACAATAATAATGTATTAGTCATGTTAGTTATATTAAGAATAATTTCTTTTATTTTCGGTCTTCTTAATTTTTTTCTTATCGTTTTCATTATAATTATTTTAAAATTTTTTATCTTGACGAGAAATGACTGACAGCGTCGAACATTTTTTGTATGATATCAAAAGTGGAGTATCTCTGCGTTAAAGTTGGCAATAGAGGGTGGGTACAGGATGTGCGACGATCGATTGCCAGCTGGTAAGGAACCACGTGACGGGGTGCGGTGTTGGTGACGTCATAAAACGATCGCTCCAAGCAACCCTTATGACAGACTGCTACTGCTGATTCATTCATCCTAATTATTCAATTAAGTTTTGAGATGCACTTTCTCTTTTCTTTTCTTACATTAACTGTGCGTAATTCGTAATTACTTGATCTTTCATATTCGTAAAAATATAATTATTCTAAAATTTCAAATGAAACATTTACAAGTATTTTAATTTATTAATAATAAATAATATAATAATAATACATTATAAATAGATAATTATTCAATTTCTTACCAGATATTAATTATATCTTATAATATAAATTTTTGTTTCTGAGTTATCTTGAATAAAAATAATTCATTAATTTGTATACAGACAATATTTTTTAATTTTAAACATAACTGATAAAGTGATGAAATCACTTTATCACAATTGTAATTGTAAACCAGCGCAAATATAAATAAATGAAGATGTATTATTTTTTATATCCGTTTCAATCTACATCCGACACATTTGTTGATAAAACATCAGAGAAAATTGCGTGTTATAATGTAATACTTAATTTACTTTTCTCATCAATCAATCTATAACTGGATTTGACAGTCTCTAACATCTTAACCTTAACCTTACATCACTTGATGGCATCACTTGATAGCTATTCTATGAAGCCAAACCACTGCAGTCTTACACATTTATACGCAGTTATGACCTACTATTCCATTCACCTATAAACATCTTATACTCGGCCATGTTTAAAAATACTTTAAGCAATATTTAAAATATCTCTCTTAATCTTTCACTTTCTCTCTCTCTCTCTCTCTCTCTCTCTCTCAACGTTTAAAAAGGCTTTTTTAGAAAAATTATAAAGTTGAATAACATTCATAATCTTCTGATTATATATTTTCTTTGTTGTTCATGTATTTTTAAGATATGGATATTCGCTTATAGCGAATTTCGGTGAGCTGACTTCTCTAGTTCAACATAGTCTCGTATACACAGTGATGATCTAAAACGAGAACAACCTAGTTTCCATTCAAAATATCAGAGCTCAGAAAAGCTTGGCCAAGTTCATGAGAGAGCATGTCACCGGAATACCTAACGTTACACTCAATCTTGAAGATGAATAGTGATTTATATGCAGATTCCATTCCATAAGTTTTCCGATATCAGTATCTGCTTAACATGTATAGAGTAAGAAGTTTCCGTTCAAAAGTTTAGCTATACTTAGCAATCGTCGTTTTTTTCTTCGATTGTTACAGGTTTTCTATCATGGGACAAGGACAGTTGTCACGTAGATCTGGAGAAGGAATTATTGGCCTTAGTAGCGCAAGCCCCCGAAGGCGAAGAAGCCAGAAATGGTAATTTATTGTCATAAACATGTTGATTTGATTCATTTTATGTTATATTATACATAATTAATTATTATTATGTCGCGTAGAAGTTATTAATTATTATTGTCACATAAGTTATTAATGAAAATGAAACTTTCAGGCGAAAGATTGATCCAATATGCCACCGAGAACCTCGTAACGGAAGTTCTCATTCACCCACAGACGAATACATTATTACAGTGTATTCGCAATCTCCTTGCAAGTTTCACGAAACATCGGCACATCATACACGCTGGATACACATTCGGTGGTAATGGTTCCTGGATACTGCAGGTATTTACACTTCGTACGAATATATTCGATATATATATATATATATATATATATATATACTGTTATTTACCAAAAACGAAACGTTAATTAATAATTGTGCAAAATATTAGCAGAGAATAGTCTTGAATTACAAAACGACAAACAAATTCCTGTTATTCAGGATGGAACCTTCAGTCTCGCAGACTTTCTGGATGCGTTCAGCGAACATGAGGTGCAAAGAGTCCTTCGTGCCTACGAGAATAGCGTTACCGTAGATATACATTGCGCGGGTGTCGGCGATTGGACGACAAGTCGATTGTCGAAAGAGGCTTGTTGCAGGTGTATATCTCTCTTGCACATTTTTCTACATGATCGATTCTAATTTGTGTCACATAATAGAAACTGTTTCATGTATAACAAAAATAAGATGTTAAACACAAAAAATAAAAAATTAAAATAAAATATATAAATAATATATTGCATAATACTTCTTTCTTAAATATTTCATGTCCTTTTTATTAACAGATCTTGCAGAGTCAGAGTAAACCCCGACGATGTTCTGACAGCCGGCGTGCCGGCTATCATGAGTTTTACGAATTACATCGGACAGTACCTAGTGTCGCAAACACTGGACCAGCTCATGGAGCCGTCCGACGTCGTTGGAAACATTAGATTTAGCCATCCAACCTTATACGTCTTCCCCGGTGGGCAAGGTGACGCCGCTCTTTTCGGTATAAACGGTTTCAACATGCTCGTCGACGGCGGCTTTGCTAGGAAAGCATGTTTTTGGGATTTCACCAGGCATCTCGACCGATTGGATGCTGTTCTAGTCACTAGGATAAATAATAGTAACATCGGCGGCATGTTTAGCGTTCTTCGCAAGAAGAAAGAGATGCACGTCTATCCTCAGATCGGCCATTTCTTCTGTAACTTAATCGTAAGTAGTCATTGTTTTTAATTCTTTTTTTTTAAAAGAAAATTCAGTATATTTTATGATAATAATAATTAAAATTCTTCGTAATAACTACTAAATCACTATATTTTCTCATTAAATATAAATAATGTAGGAAAGAAGACAATCAAATTCACCCGATGGCGATAAGGACATTGATCCGCTCATTTTCAACCTCACTGATATTGGTCAAGAGATGGTGGTGAACCTTCGACACGTTAATCTTCGCGCCCATCCTTGCTACAGAGATCCCGATCCAATCAACCTCTATCACAAGGTGGGCCACGGGACGCTGGATATGTACGTGCTCAGCCCGAGCAAAGACAGTCGCGAAGTGCGCGAATTCCTGGCGAAGTGGCACACGTCAGATTCGAAGCTGTTTGCAGGTTCTCATAAAAAAGATTCGAACAATCTCACATTCCCGATACAGAATCTCGTGTCGATATGCGCGCTTCTAGTTTGGCAGCCGGCCAATCCCGAGGATAACATCACGCGGATTCTCTTTCCCGGCAGCACGCCGCAACACAAGATCTTCGAAGGTTTCGAACGATTAAAACATCTGGACTTTTTAAAGCATCCAGTATGTTCAGCGAAGACTCTGTCACCGTCAGTGTCTTTAGCGACACTCAGAGATAAGCCAACCAAGCAAAAACTTAGTCTTATCGAGAAAGAACCCAAGAAAATTTTTGAGCCAAAGAAAGAGAAGAGAGAACCATCGGAGCCCAAGTCCATCAAGGCCGCAGACGAGACTGTACCCAAGAGTATCTCTCAATCGACACCGATTATAGCTGCTAGTAAACCTAAGATCGAAATGAAGACGAAGAAAGTTGTGGAAAATAAGAAGATCGAGACTGAGGCAAAAGAGAGTAAGAAAATTGAAAAAGAACTGAAAGAGGTGAAAAAGGAGCCCAAGAAGGAACCAATTAAAGTGGAGAAGCCCGAAAAACGAGAAGACGATGTGAAAAAGACTGATTTAATCAAACCGGAGTCCGAGAAAATCAAGGAACCTAAGGAACCTAAGGAACCGAAGCCCAAGCCCGAACCAAAAAAGAAAGAACCAAAAGAAAGCAAGGTGAAAGTTGAATTGAAGAAAAGCGAATTAACTCCGAAGCCAAAATTGATTGAGAAAAAAGCTAAACCTTCTGGTGTAGAGAAAAGAGACGCTATGAAATCCTCCCCGACTACTCCGAAGAAGACTCTGAATGGTGCTGCAACAAAGACAGAGATATCGAAAGCTGTACCGAAAGTGAAACCGGCGGTCAAGGTTGCTCCAAGTCTTCCAGCCAAGAGTGCTAAGGAAGCTAACAACAGGAAAGTGGTGGAACAGAAGAAATCTGAAGTCGAGAAGTCTGCCGTGAAGGATTCTGCAGCGCCAGTTGTCAAGGTGACCGCAAAACCTAAACCAATGGACAGGAAGCCGATCAGTCGTCGCACGAAACCGGTTAGTCCCAATAAAGCCCGTATGCCGGGTAGCCCCGCGAAATCTACTCGCAGTACTCCGACCGCTTCTGTAAAATCGGACAAAGACGGCGTTATTCGTAAAGTAAAAGGCGACAAAGGCACTACGGATTCATCCACAGTCTCCACTCCATCTGGCATAGAACCAGAAGTTGTAAAACCGATTGATAAGAGCTTAATTGAACAATCTGAAGATATATCATTAGATTCAATAGAAAGTAAAGTATTGGCAGATCTCAAAGAAGAGCGAGAGGTAGTGGAAGAAATTGAAGCTGTTTTACAAAAGGCGGAAAGAATCGAAGAAATCCGAAAGGACGATCGTTTTGAGGGTGATGATGAAATCACGGCTGAAGCCACTGATAAGAAAGAGGAGGATATTACAGAAGAGGATGTTACCGCCGAGATTGAAGATGTGCCTAAGAAGGAAGGTTCTAGAAAAGAAAGTCAGGAATTGACTGAAGAGGACGAATATCTTATCGTGGAGAAAGAAGAGGTTTACACCGAAGATTCTGCTCAGAGCGGCGAGGGCGAACAAAAGCACGTTCTCGACGAAGCTCAGTCGGAAAAGGCAAAAGTACTAAAAGATGTGGAGGCAATGAAGGAAAAGGGCGAGAAGGAGGAACCTGAGGAGAAGGGAAAAGATGACAGTCCGGAAAAGAAAGTAGAAAAGATTTTGGATAAAGGAGAGAAAGAAATCGCTGAGTTATCGTCGGAACATAAGGAACAATTACAGGAAGAAGTAAAAGAGATAATAGCATCCGCAGCCGAAATCGTACAGAAAGCCGAAGAGAAGGACGACTCCGGTAAAAAAGACAGCGAGGACATCACGAAAGAACCATCCAGTTTAAGTCCGGACAAATTAGATTCATCGGAGAAAAAAACAACCGATACAGACATAAAACCGGATGTCGATCAAAAAGAGAATATTCTTGAAAAGATGGAAGAGTCTCAGGAGCGAATCTCGACAATAGAATCGGGGGCTACTACAACTGCTCCGACTTTACCAGAAGACGAGCGAATACCGTTGGATGAAATAAAAGAGGATATTGACGAGAAACATGTTATTGAAGAAGTAAAGGAGAAGGATGCTCCTGCAAAGCTGAAAAAGGAAGTCATTCCGGAAACTGTTCTCGCGGCTGCCAAGCCGGAAGTCAAAGTATTTGATGTTCGCCAGGCGATACCTAATTTGCAAAGAGACATTGTTAAAACACCAGATGAGGTCGCCGATCTTCCGGTTCATGAAGAAGTCGATCCTAAGCTCTACAGAATGGAAGATTTCGAGAAGGGAAAAGAGGAGAAACTATCGCCAACTGCGCAAGAAGATAAAGAATCGTCTACTCCGCCCGCAAAAGAGCAGAAGGGTGTTTTTAGTTTCTTTGGCAAGGTGGCGGATAAATTTGAAAAAGGTATCGATAAATTGACCAAGAAAAAGAAGGATTCTGAGAAGGATTCCGACGAAAAATCTTCCTCAAAATCAAGTTCTCCAAAAGAACCAAAGGTGCAAGAGAAGACGGTCTTGGAAGAGGTTGATATGGAGAAGGTATTCCCTAAAATTGGCAAGCCCGTTGACAAACCCGAGACATTCGAAGAGGCGAAACCTACGACTGTTGATGTGAAAGTAGCTGCCATCAAGGAAACCGCGGCATTTATACAGGAAGAGATACTGGACATACAGAGGAAGAGTGTGCCGGATATCGAAGAAAAGCTTCCTACTGATAAGTTAGATGAAATTAAAAAAGTAGAAGCCAAAATCGAGGAATCATTCCTTGCAAAGGACGTATCACCAGGAGTCGTTTCACCAACAAAACTAATTGAAGACAAGGAAATTGCGAAGGAGATTGAACTTTTAAAGGAAGAAGATATCGGAGAAGATGTAGAAGAGGTAAAGGCACTTTTGGAGGAAGCTTCGAAAAAATTCAAAACTGTGAAAGATAGTTTAAGAGATTCATTGGAATCTTTGGAAGATAAAATTAAAGAAGAGATAGCTGAGATACATGAAACACCATCCGCCCTGAAAGATATGGTAAAGGATACTTTGGAAGGGGTGGCTGAGAAATTGGAAGAGATAAAGCCACATATCGAGAGTCACTTACCCGACATAAAAGAACCGGAGAAGGTCAAGTTTGCTATACCAAAAGATGAAGAATTCGAAGAGGAATACGAAGAGGAAATACAGGGTCCATATAGAGACATGAAAGAAGCTGTTAGGGATGTCGGAGAAGTCCTTGCTGGTACTGCCGGTATCGAGCTCGAAGATAAACCCAAGGATGTCATAGAAATTGTGAAGAAAGTCGCCGAGGTTCTCAGAGAAGACGATTTTCTTTCCGACAAAACGTTATTCGAGCAAGCTCCTAAAAAAGAAGAGATTTCACCGATTTCGACGGACAGAAAACCGTCAAAAGAAGAAATCTCCCCAATTTTGACGGAAAAGAAGCCTTCTATACCAAGTGAAAAAATATCTCCAGAGAAGGTTGCTAAATTAGAAGAAGAGGAACTCAAACTTGCTCACGAAGATATTGTGATACCGAAGAAAGTTGATGTTACTGAAGTATTTCCGGTTCATGAAGAATTTGAGAAATTTGGGAAGGCCGACAAACTTCCATACGAGAAACCTGACGCTCTCGAGGTAAAAGAAGAACCTTGTATAAAAGTGGTGAAAGAAAAGGATGATATAATAACATCGCCTATAAAGGACGTGGCGAAAGATAAACGGGATGCGCAAAAAATTTGTGAAGAGATATTAAAGGATGATCAACATATTTGCGATCAACATAAAAAACCGATGGACGATGATACATCTCGAGTAGATGTGATGCAGGCTGGTATCGAGGACGTATGCGTGAAGGAAGTAGCGAAACGACCATCTTTCGAGAAGAAGCTGGAGGACGAGATAGAAGAATCCGTAATCGGCTTTGAGCAAAAGATTTCGCCGGCGAAGGCGGAGATAGTGATGGTGACTCCCGGTTCTACGCCAACTTCGCCGAAATTTGTCACGGACAAGATATATGACGAAGGACTGGAAATTGGTTATCGTGAGTTGCCAGAGGATATCAAGCAAATTCTCAGCAAGGAAGTGCCAGTTGAAGAAATAATCGAGGAATTGATTATCACGAAGAAGAAGAAGGTTACTATCGAAGTGATCGAATATATCACCGTAACGAAGCACATCCCGAGAGAGCGCGTGATTTACGTTATCGAAGAGATTATCACGAAGAAGGGACTTCCCAGAGAAAGTGTGATAGACGATCCAGAGATTCTGAGGTTGAAGGAATCTATCACACTTGAAAAGAGAATGGAGATCGAAGAATATATCCTTAACGAATATATTGTTAAAGGAAAACGAATTACCATAGAAATCGTTCAAGAAATCTCGATTAAGAAAGTTGTGCCTAAAAAGATTGTCATCGAAATTATTGAAGAGATTATTGTTAAGAGAAAACTTGCTAGGCATATGATATTAAACGTTCCTGAAGAAGTATTATCGGAAATAATTAAAGAGAAATCGCCGGAAGAATCGCCAGAACAATCGGCAGAGGAGCAGATAACAGAGGAACAGCAAATAGACATAACTGCGAAACAAAAATTCGCTGCTGAAGTTCCTGATGCTCCAACCGGAGAAGAAAAACTGACTGATGAAGGCGTGTTTAAATCTTATATTGAGGAATTTATCGTTAATGAGTACGTTACTAAAGGGAAAAAGATTACCGCATCGACAATCGACGACATTTCTATTCAAAAGACAGTGCCCAAGCAAATTCTTATTGAAATTATCGAAGAAATTATTATTAAAAGAAAGATTCCCAAGAACACGGTACTTGATGTTACGGAGGAAGAATTATTAGCAATTTCTAAAAAGACACCTGAGGATGAGAAAGAAAAATTAGTCGCTGAGACACCTAGCGTTCCAGAGATTCCAGAAAAGGAATCGATAACTTCGCAAAAAAGAGCAGAAATTGAAGAATATATTATTAACGAATATATTACCAAGGGGGATAATATTAATATTAAAAAACTTGAAGAAATATGTGGTAAAAAGAAGGTACCTAAGAGAATCATCATTGAGATTGTAGAAGAAATTATCATTAAGAGAAAAATACCGAGACATACAGTACTTAGTGTAACCGACGAAGAATTATCGCATATTATTAAGGAAGAAGCGATTCCAGAGTCGCAAGTACTGACTGAGAAACCGGTCGCAGAAGTGCCCAGCACTGAAGAGAAAAAAAGTCCAATTGAGTTAAAAAAAGACAAGAAAGAAGATGTTCTTGAGCAAGAAATGAGCGCTGAAGAGGAGTTATCGGCCACATCCGAAGAGGAGGACGTCGAGAAGGAAGTGGATGGATTTGTTAGTATACCCAGAAGGATTTCCGATACGGCTGATATAAAGAAGAAAGCGATTTCAGAGATTCCATCTTCAGTAACGAAGGAACATGAGAAAGACGTGATTGACGACTTCGAAGCTGTCGAGCAGGAATATAAAGTACGTGATGTACAATCTCCCGAGAAAGCGAGCGAGATGAAAGAAAAAGAAGACATTGAAGAATCTATGGAAGATACCACAAGTGAAGTGATCGAAGCAGACGAGAAGTTCGTGCAAGAAACCAAAGGGAAAGTGGGAATAGAAGAGCTTCAGATTGCAAAGGATATTAAACCAACTGATGAGAAACGAGAACCTGTAGAACGGGAAATATCCGAAATATCGGAAATTGTCGATACTACTGAGAAATATTTAGACGAGGCTAAGGAAAAGACGGATGACATGCTTCAAAAAGAGACTGCTACAACATTGACGCCATCAATCTCCGACAAAGCAGAAAAGTCTTCAATCGAAGACTCAAGTAAGGAAACACCCAAAGATTTCTCCGATAAGCGACCATCAATTGACGCACCAGATATTTCTAAATCAATTACACCAAGCCCAAAGATAATTGACGAGAAACTTGAAATGCAAGAAATTGAGCCTGCGGTTAAAGAAGAAGTCGAGGAACTGCAACTTAAAAAAGTTGTTGAAGGAGTAAAGGTAGAAACAAAGCTCGCAGATGCAACAGGTTTCACACAAGAGCCAAAAGTAGAATTACTTGAAGACGATAAGAAATTTAAACCATTAGAGACCACAGAAATTAAAGAAGCTCCAATAACTAAGGAAGAGAAGGGCCCTCAAGAAACATTAGCAGCAAATATACCAAAACCATTTGACGATGGCACTGTTAAAAGGATGCTGGTTACAGCATGTAGCGAGGATGGCAGAGAGGAAACTGAGATCTGTCCAAGCGGCAGCATAACTTTTACGAAAACCGTCACTCCAGATGATTCTCTTAAGGATGTATCTGCTAAATCTACACCAGATAAAGATTCATTACTTTTAGATAAAGACTCGCGTTCGGATATAAGTACTCCCGAAAAGGATAGTATTTCCGAAAAATCTGCGCCAGAAGGTAAGGATAAGATTACTCCGGAAGACAGTTTGGAAAAGTCACCTGGTGGTCCTCGTGATTCACAGGATCTTGAAGACAGTTTGGAAAAATCAGAATTGCGTAAGCCAAAGGTACCAGAGGAATTGGAAGATATTATAAAGTCTCCTGTGGAAAAAGATTTGGAGATATCAGATAAAATTGCCGAAAAAGATATACCGAAATCGCCTAAAGAGGAACAAGTGGAACCGAAATCTTCAGCTGAAGAAAAGATCAAGAAACCTAGTTCTCCAGTTGAAAAAATCGAAAAATCACGATCTCCTTCACCTCTTGATACAACAACGCAGAAATCTCCTATAGAATTAGCTGAAAAACCAAAACTTCCAATCGAGAAGGTGCTTCCAGAACCTAAGAAAGAAGGAACGATTGGTGTTCCAAAGACACCTGAATCGTTCCATTCAGAGGACGTTTCACCAGCTGAGACAATTTTCTCGAAGTCACCCACAGATAAATCTGAAATGTATTTTGCAAAGGCACCTATTACCGAAGAAGACGTTGCTATCGAAAAAGACATAAAAAAATTACCTGAATCTATTAAAGAAATTAAATCAGCCGTAGACAAAGAATTACCAATATCTTTAGAAAAATCCGAACAAGATATTAAATCTCTCGATAAATCCCCTAGTATTTTAAGTGATAAAGTCGATGAGAAAGAAACTGATAAGTTGAAATCGCCTAGTATTATGGAGAAAGAAACGGTAAGTGAAAAGTTGCCTATTTTCGAGAGTGAACATTACGATGAAAAGGGACCAATTGACGAAGCTAGATCTCCAAGCGCGATTAGCGATAAATCCGACGAGAAGAAAGAGGCCGAACGTTCCAAGTCACCGAGCATAGCTGCGGATAAGCCGGACCTTCAAGATGTGACGGAACGTTATTTAGAGAAACCAAAATCCCCTATTTTTGATAGGCCAGATTCGCCTAAAGCTATTGATAAGACTGAAGAATCACATGATAAAGATAGATCTCCCAGTGTAGCTAGTGATAAATCAGATAGCAAGAAAGTAAGTGACCGTTCTAGATCACCAAGCGTTTCTGTAGAAAAAGTAGATTTCGAGAGGACCCGATCGCCTAGTGTCACAAGTGCTAAAGACGACAAACTGGAACAGTTTCCAGTAGCAAAATCACCTGAAATACCAAAGGATGTGTTGAAATCTCCGAAACTTGAAGAAGATAAATCGGATTTGAAAGATATAATGCAATCTCCGTTAGATAAATCACGATCACCGAGTGTAACAAGCGGCATTAGCGAATCTAAAGAACCAGATCGCTCAAAGTCACCCAGTATTGCCGGCGAAAAACCTGATATGAAGGATGTAACGGAAACACCGATGGAGAAGTCAAGATCTCCAAGTGTGATCAGTATTACGAGTGAGCAAAAAGAACCAGTTGATCGCTCCAAGTCTCCGAGCATCGCAGGAGAAAAAATAGACTTAAAAGATATCGCAGAACCTGCAGATCGGTCAAAATCGCCAAGCGTAACTGGAGAAAAACCAGATTTGAAGGATGTCACCGCAGAGAAATCGAGATCTTCTAGTATTACAGGAGAACAAAAGGAATCGCTTGATCGTTCTAAATCTCCGAGTGTTGCTGGAGAGAAACCGGATTTAAAGGATATCATAGAACTATCCGATGAAAAATCAAAATCAGTTGTCGCGATGAGTGCTACGACTGATTCGAAGGGACTCGATGATCGATCGAAATCGCCGAGCAGTACTGATCTAACGGATATTACAGAACAATCGTCGCTGGATAAATCCAAGTCACCTAGTGTCACGAGTATTACGTCTGATCAGAAAGAATCAGTAGAAAAAGCAAAATCGCCAATTTCGGACAAGAAGGAAGAACGTGACAGGAGCAAATCTCCAAGCATAATAAGTGAAAAGTCTGATGAGAAGAAATCTGCCGATGGTTCGAAAGCGACCAGTGTTACAGAGGAAAAACCAGATCTTAAAGACGTGATGGAACCACCAGCCGATAAATCCAGATCATCAAGTGTTACGAGTGAGAAAGCGGAATTATTTGAAAAATCGACATCGCCTGTTTCTGACAAATTAGAACCACCTGTTGATCGAAGCAAATCTCCCAGTGTTGCTAGCGATAAGTCCGATGAGAAGACATCGGATGACAAGAGTAGTGTTAAAGAACATTATGAAAGTGCTGGTGATAAATCCCCGAGTTTCGTCGATGTGAAAATACCGCACGAAAAAGCTATGGAAGAGAAACCTTCAACAGTTTCCGGAAAAATGGACGTTAAGCCAGACGATATTATATCGCATGACAGACCGGTATCTCCAAGCATTGTTTTTGATAAGCCGGTAGATGACACTAAACAGCCAATAGAGAAAATAGATGTTGACGGATTAAAAACGTCCGGCATAATCGGCGATTCGGATTTTGTCGATAAGACAAGATCATTAAGCATTATCAGTGATAAGACAGAACCGAAATCACCATCCGATGTCTCAAAGTCACCGAGTTTAGCCGACGATCAAAAGGATAAGTCTAGATCATCCAGTGTTGCCAGTGAGAGGCTTGATGATATTAAAGTTCCTCAAATACCAGAAGCAAAGGGAGAACGATTAATTTCGTCGAGTTCAGCCGACGATCAAAAGGATAAGTCTAGATCATCCAGTGTTGCCAGTGAGAGGCTTGATGATATTAAAGTTCCTCAAATACCAGAAGCAAAGGGAGAACGATTAATTTCGTCGAGTTCAGCCGACGATCAAAAGGATAAGTCTAGATCATCCAGTGTTGCCAGTGAGAGGCTTGATGATATTAAAGTTTCTCAAATACCAGAAGCAAAGGGAGAACGATTAATTTCGCCGAGTTCAGCCGACGATCAAAAGGATAAGTCTAGATCATCCAGTGTTGCCAGTGAGAGGCTTGATGATATTAAAGTTTCTCAAATACCAGAAGCAAAGGGAGAACGATTAATTTCGCCGAGTTCAGCCGATGATCAAAAGGATAAGTCTAGATCATCCAGTGTTGCCAGTGAGAGGCTTGATGATATTAAAGTTTCGCAAATACCAGAAGCAAAGAAAGAACGATCAATTTCGCCCAGTTTGGATATCGGAAAGATCCCAAAAGACGGATCTGCTAAATCGTCGCGAGCTAGTTCGCCAGTGGATAAAACTCCGAAGGATAGATCACGTTCGCAAAGCGTCTTCGATGCTGGCGAGAAAACACCGGTCAGATCTAGAACAGCCAGTTTATTCGATGACAAATTATCAGAGAAGCCATTTCCTCAAGAGGAAAAACATTTCGACATGGGGAAACCACTTGATGAGAAGAATGAATGTAAAAAAGATAGTAAGAGTCCTATAACTTCTCCTGAGACAATCGAGAAAAAAATGCAGAAGATCCGCGAAAAACGATTTGCCGATTTTAAAGAGCCGGACGTCGGACAACCAAGTAAGGTAGAGAAATCAGACGATGAAGAAGAAGACGTCATTAAAGTGACAGCCGAGAAGAAGGCGGAGATCGAGAAGTACATCTTAGATGAGTACATTGTGAGGAAAAGAAAGATCAGTCTGACGGTGATCGAGAGATTAGTTATGACGTATTCAGTGCCCCAATTTATAGTGATGGAGATAATAGAAGACATTATTAATCGGCAAAATATGCCTAGGAGTGCAGTTTTCGATTTCGTAGACGACGAAGCCTTCTCCGAGCCTCAATACGGAAAAGAATCTGAAACGGAACTGCTGGCGCCGCAAGAAAGAGCGAAAGTAGAAGAATATATTATTGAGGAATTCATTACGAAAAAAAAGATGATCACGCCGGAAGCCTTGGAAGAAATGGTCATTGTTAAATCTGTGCCGCGATACATTCTCATTACAATTATTGAAGAGATCATTGTGAAGAAAAAGATACCTAGGAACACCGTAATTGAAGGGGACTTGGGAGAACCGGGAGAAAAAGATCTAGGTATTTTTGAAAAAAGAGAGGAGCCTGTTATGCCAGCTAGCATGGATTTCGGAAAAATAACTCAAGAAGACATTCACAGTCATGAAAAATCAGGTGATACTACGAAAGGCGAAAATCTGGATGGCAAAATATCTCCTGCAGGGAGCGATCGACATGACAGGGATTCGAAAGCGGCGCTTTCTGCTAGCCCCAGCTTAAGTCCGGAACCTATTCCTTCCGACAAATCAACTCAGGATAGTCCAGCTCGATCAGAGCCGCATATAGATGAGGAGATCCTGATATCGGAAGAGAAGCGAATGGAAATCGAAAAACTCTTGGAGGAAGAATATATAAAGAAAGGAAAGAAAATTACAGAAGTGACACTCGAAGAGATAATCATCATGACTTCTCTACCTAGGTATATTATCCTAGAGATAGTGGAAGAAATTATATTAAAGAGAAAGATCCCAAGAGAATCTGTGATCGATGTGGAAATTTATCAAGAGGAAGAAGAGGACTACGATAAGGCAATGTATCACTACGAGGGAACAACGGATGTAGATTACGAGCTGCCGCATGATGCCAGGGGTATGTATCCGGAATCGAGCGAGCAACAGTTGGACAAATCCGATTATCCACCGGATTACGAGAGCCAGTTTCACAAAGCCTTCGTTGGTGGTATGACGGAGATGCGAACGACACATATAACCACATTGTCTGGAAAATCGACCCCAGAATTTACACATGACGCTGCTTCCAAAATCGAGCCAACCGGTAAAGTGCCTGAAAAATTATCGGAATCTACTCTGACCACGACTCACATAACGAGAACAGATGTGGAAGACACGAAGGCTGTGCAATCTGCTCAAACTGTTACGATATTGAGAGAAAGCAAGATTGCGGAAACTGTCGATAAAGACAAACCTGAAGAAACTGCGGGGATTTCGGCAACAGTTACATCCGGTGATCATGCCGAATCGGATGGCGACGTTATTGTAAGTAAGACGACAATCAAACATGAAGTGATTAAAGAGGAGGAATCTGGGAAGACTGAAGTCATGAAAGGAATTGAACCACAAGAAACAGTCAAAGAAATTAAACAGTCGAGTATTCAACAAGATGACCCCGAAGCGATTACCAAGATCATTAAGAAGGAAATTATGGAACATGACGAGCCGGAAGTAGTCACTAAAGTTGTCAAACGCGAAATTATCGAGCAAGATGAGCCTGAAATTATCACAAAAGTGATCAGACGCGAGATTGTCATCCCCGATGAAGAAACCAGCGACTCAAAGGAAGATTCTGGCGAATATATGAAGACTATTACAACGAAAACAACGCGAACAATCGTGACAGAGGAATTAGCAGATGCCGAATTAGCACAAGCTGATTCTTCGACAATTTACACAGATCCTACCTCAGGTTCAACCTACAAGGTTGCGAGTGACGAAGGTGCGTCTGACACAGCCAGCGCCGATATAAAGCGAATCGTGACGACTGTAACCACGATTACTGGACCGGACGGAAAAGTTACCACAAAGACAGACGTCAAAGAGAGCACGGACACTTTGGCCGGCGAGGAATTATTAGAAAAATTGACGGAAAGTACCAAACCTGCGGAAACAATTATCAAGGAAACGATTACGACTGTGACATCGGGCACTACAACGCCCGACGTAAAAGCCTTCTATTCCGATTCCGGTAAATCGACACCTGATCTCAAACATGAAGCTAAACTTGAATCTACAATAAAAGAACGCTTAGACGCAGACAAATTTGAACATCCGGTGTCTCCTTTAATACGAGAACTTATATCTGATGACAAAAGTTATTCGGGTAAGTCTTCACCGGATATATCGTTGCCTAAGGATATCGTCTTCAGTGGCAAGTCTACGCCAGAGGTTCCTACGTCGCCGTTGATCAGAGACGGCGCTGTAGTTCAACCTCACGTATCGGGTAGATCGACGCCCGATAAAAGATCCGACTGTCGATCCTCTACGAGTACACCGGAAGGATTTAGATCGGGCGAGATGATACGAACTATCGTTACGACTACAAAGACGGTATCCGACGAAGGTGAAATAGTAACGACTACTAGGGAGGTCACAGAAACGACAAATGAGAAAGGCGAGACAGTTGTATTGGCGGAAAAGACTGATGTGAAGGTAGACGAACGTCTGCCAAGCAAAGATGCCGCGGAAAGCGCGATCAGCAGTATTATCGGCAGCATCAAATCCTCGGAATTGCAACGTGGCGGTAGTCCAGACGTGGCAGGGTCCGACGACGTAACCAGCGAAAAGGATCGTGATCCAGCCAGTCCATTGAGTGAACATAGTAGCACACGTAGTAAAGTCATGACACACCCATGGGGTAGCAGCGAGGAGCGACATACTTATTCTGACGATGAACCACCCAGTTCGTCTCTTTCTTCAACCTCGCAAGTCGGTTATTCACCGCAAACAACGCGTCGCTATGAATCATCTTCTGATAAACAAGAGGAGCAGAAACAAGTGGAATTCTCGGCGGCTGCGATGAGCAGCAGCTTCTACGGTGAGCTGCCAGCGGTACCGCCTCAGATATCTGCTATGAAAACCTTCCACGGTGAGACTGGTATGCAGAAAAGCAGTGATCCCATTCACAGTCGATTCACAGTAGAAAAGGAGCCCGCCGGTGATTATGGCGAAAAATCGGACGCAAAGAGATACGTCGACGAAGCCGATCTCGACTTCGATAAAGCTCTGATGGATAAAGAGATGAAGGAGGCCGGAGGGAGCTTCAGCAGCGGAATAGCGCCCAGGTACACCAATGGTAGCCTTCGTCATGAAGCAACCGACGAAAAAGATCATCCATCGTCTTCGTTCCGGGATGATAAAGATGATTCAAAGGGTGACTCGAAAAAAGATCCTTTGGAGGGATGGGGAACCCCTCTTGGGCTGCCGTCTCCTAAACCGCCCAAAAAGTTTAATCTGAAGAACTCTGCTCAATCTCCATCGTGCTCAAGTGAGACAACCTCCGATACTTTGAATTTCGATGTTGTAAAAAATTGGGGAGAACCTCTTAGGCTGCCTTCCCCCGCACCAGTGACCAATGAGATATCGAACAAGGGAGCGCCCAGTACACCGAAAAAAGAACGGAAACAAGCGAAGAAGATTCAATCGGAGAATATCAAGAACAAAAAACGTTCGGAAAGCCCCGGTAAGAACGAAAAGAAGATGAAAGATTCGAAGAATAAGGTCCAACCGGTTTACATGGATTTGGCGTATGTACCCCATCACGGAAATTCGTACTACACATCCTTGGAATTCTTCAAGAGAGTGCGAGCGAGATATTACGTCTTTAGCGGCACCGAGCCCAGCCGGGAAGTCTATGACGCTCTATTGGAAGCTAAAAAGACTTGGGAGGACAAGGATCTCGGTAAGTTTATTAAGATTGTATGAAAACATTATAGATTTACATCTTTTCATGATAAATTGTTGTTATTTTGTACATTACTTCTATTTAAAATTAAAGAATATTACTCAAACTTTACAATAATCAATATTATTTATATTTTTCTTGGTAACTGACAATTTAATTGATTCCTTTAATATTTATTTATTTCTTTATCATTACTTCTTTTTATCATTGTGTCAAAACTTATCTTGATCATGACAGAAACAATATTAATTAGATTTAAATCTTAATTAAGATTTTCATAAATATATTCATATTTAAATATTAATTCAAATGAGAATAATATCTACGCTAATTAATATATATGTATATACTGCATGTTCCGAGCGTATTTTGATATAATTTTCCATGTCTCCATGTCATTTATATTTTCATATTTAATTAGAACTTACAAAATATAATTCATTTATACTTGCAAATAATCTATAATTGTTGTTAATGTGGTATCCGTATATAATTTATATCTTATTTTTACCTTCAGACTCTTTTAATTTAATATTTACTGCTTAGTTTTTACACTGAGGAGGATTAAAACAATGCTCCTTTGCGATAAGATTACATTTTATTATATATTTTTCATGTAATAGTTTAATAATAAATGTATGAATACTGCGCTTCGACATCTGCATTTGGCTTTTATTGACTATTTCTTTTATTTATTCTTATAGCCAATTTTTGGCTATAAAAACGATTATTTTAATTTTTTTTCAGAGGTAACCATGATTCCGACCTACGACACCGATACTTTGGGCTATTGGGTCGCCGATAACGAGGAAGCGCTCGCGGCGAATCACATAGATCTATCACCGTCCGCGTCCAGGTGTACTATCAATCTCCAGGATCACGAGACTAGTTGCAGCGCCTACAGGCTC